CAGTTTGGGCTTTGGAATTGTCAGTATGCTAATCATACCCAAGTCTATCTTCTGACTCCAGTACAGCCAAGTACAGCTGTTGAGGGTCTGTCCCGGTGCCTAGAGGCTATGTGGGTTTATGTGATGGAATCTGGTTCAGAGTTGCAAGAGGGGGAGAGTCTTTCCCAAGGACCTAAGAGGCAAATCAGCCTGGAATCCTTGACATGCAGGAACTGTATCTAATAGTTTTGCAGATTGTGCTTTAGTCTGGCAAGATTCCTGTCTATAGATGAGTAGTGATGAAGAAACTACCGTGACTAAATCATCATGTCATTCTTGGTTCCTTGCTCCTGACAGTTTAGATGGGGAGGAACTTTTTCTAAACAATCCTATCAAAGACTGTGGGTGTTTGGAGCACCCAGGTCGAGGGATAGTCCAACTCCTAGTCTTGAATGGGGTGGCACTCCCCCATTCAAGGATTGTCCACAAGTTGGAGGTCTTCCCAGGCCCACAACTCCTGCTTACCTTAGCAACTGTTCAAAGTTACAACAATGCTAAAAATGTGACTTACGATTGGTCCTTGCGAACATCTCTGTGATCACATGATCATAATTTGAGCGCTTGGCAACCGCTGCACATTTATGATGGTTGCAGCATCCCGTGATCACATGATTGTCATTTGCAAACTTCTTAGCAAATGAAGCAGAATTGATGGGGAAGCCAGCAGGGAAGATTGTATATATTATTGTACTTATGCGATGTTGTACTTGCTTAATGACCACAGTGATTTGCTTAACAAGTGCAGCCAAACATTAATAAAATTGGAAACAGTCATGTGATACCTCACTCAACAATTGCATTGCTGAATGATAAATTTTCTGGTCCCTATTGGGGTCATAAATTGAGAACTACCTGTATTCTGCATTTCAGGCAGAAGCCTTTTTCAGTCTCGGCAGGAGCCACAGCTGAACCTACAACCTAAATCCTTTTGAATGTGTGTGCATACACATTTTTATACCCAATTTTGTCTAAACATGGGCATTTCTATCACAGTGTACTTCTGTGCTTTATCTTGCATAATACATGCTCTCTCTCTTTTTTTTTTTACTTTGAACATGCTTTTTAAAATTAGTGCTGAACTACAAAATACGAAGGTAAAGGAAGCTGCATTTTGATTTGCATTTTGAAACTGTGAATGAGGTAAACATTCAATTTACAGTGAATCAACCCAATCTCTACTGTTTCTTATGAGTTGATAGATGGCGGCACTTAAATGTTTCTCAAGGTGTCCAATTCTGCTTTAGAACCACAATAAGGCAGAATTCTGAATCACGTCAGAAGCGGGGAATTCAGGCAAAGTATACTTTCTTTCTTTCTTTCTTTCTTTCTTTATTTATTTATTTATTTATTTATTTATTTATTTATTTATTTTTAATTTGATTTATATGCCGCCCTTCTCCGGAAAACATTCTTCAGATCTTTGTGCTCCATCTAGAAGAGGAGCCTGCTCACTGAGAGACACGAGGCATAAGGGTACACTTAACTTTCATACGATCAATCAGACTGAACGGGATTGTTATAGTTGAATTACATCTTAATTTGCAGGATGCAGAAAGTACGCAAGATCACATTGAGAACATGCATCCTTGAACAGCTAATTTGATAGCCTCACTCTGCTGGAACTAGGTATGTCTAGTTTGATGAAAAGAAAAACTAGGGGTGGCATGATAGCAGTGTTCCAATATCTCAGGGGCTGCCACAAAGAAGAGGGAGTCAAACTATTCTCCAAAGCGCCTGAGGGCAGGACAAGAAGCAATGGGTGGAAACTAATCAAGGAGAGAAGCAACTTAGAACTAAGGAGAAATTCCCTGACAGTTAGAACAATTAATCAGTGGAACAACTTGCCTCCAGAAGTTGTGAATGCTCCAACACTGGAAGTTTTTAAGAAGAGATTGGATAACCATTTCTCTGAAGTGGTGTAGGGTTTCCTGTCTAAGCAGGGGGATGGACTAGAAGACCTCCAAGGTCCCTTCCAACTCTGTTATTCTATTCCATTCCATTCCATTCCATTCTATTCTCTGTCTATAAAACAGGAATATTTGCCAAGGTCTCAAAGGATGTGCGACTCTTTTTATTTTTAAAGAATAAAAGTAGAAAGTTATGAATATGACAATCAGAGGGGGGAAAATCAAAGAGAAAGCCAAAGGAAAGTAGAAGAAAAGAACAAAAAGAAAGAAGCTTTAGGATATTATGGAGGACTGTGAAACCATCTGGTTATCTCTCTCTCTTTGTGTTTCAACATCTTATCACATTCTTTGTATATTGGATGAGGTTTATTATATGGGTTGCCCTTATTATTGGTATATACAGAGAGCTGAGCTCGCTGGATATTTGCTACTGTTGCCTCCAAAAAAGAGATTTTCTAAAGGATGAGAGTCATTCAGAGTTAGATGAACCTCCTGGATAGAAGCTGTTCCAAATATGGACACTCACCTAGTGCAAAAGGACAGACATTTTCCTTGCCTTTGTGTATCTGATTTGTAAGAATTGTCCCCTCCCTGATATTTTGCTTCTTGGAAAATCAGCAGCCGCAAGCCTATACTGGGAAGCTGCAAGGTTATTATGAGGCTCGTTGGATTTCAACACTTGAAATAAAAATGGCACATATATTTCTATAGATAAATAATATTTAGCACATCAACATAATCTGCAACTCTCTGGAACTGGTAGGGCTTTTTAAAAAAATGATATTTTACCAGTTAAACAGTTAAACACCCTAGTGTAAGTTAGCTTAAAGTCGTGATGGTGCAGTGGTTAGAATGCAGTATTGCAGGCTACCTCTGCCCACTGCCAGGAGTTTGATTCTGACTAGCTCAAGGTTGACTCAGCCCTCCCTCCTTCCGAGGTCTGTAAAATGAGAACCCAGATTGTTGGGGGCAATATGCTGACTCTGTAAACCACTTAAAAAGCACTATGAAGTGGTATATAAATCTGCTATTGTTATTGCTAAAGAACTTCAAAGAATGAAAGTTTCTCATCCTCTCTATCTCCATGTCCTCGGCTGTGCCTATCTAGCTCCTCCAAGTTTTATGGTAACCTATTTTAGTAACAGATGATCCATTACATAGTGAACAATATGGTATGCATGAGGATTTGGATGTATTTAACTGATTTATTTGGCACTTAACACACAACTGTATAACAGTAGTCCTTGTAAAACCTAATTCCAAAAGTGCTTTTCCAAAAGGCAACTGGACTTCCTTGGGTTTTTTCCCTCCCTTGAAAACTTTTCGCTTCTCATCCAAGAAGCTTCTTCAGTTCTGACTGAATGGTGGGGAAGGAAAGGATTTATATTCTTTGCAGTCATCTGGATGAGAAGTGAAACGTTTTCAAGGGGAAAAAACTCCAAGAAAGTCCAAAAGTTTGGAAAAGCACCTTTGGGACAACCATGACCTGGATGACAGAATTTCCAGAGACATGCAAAACCTAATGTAGTTCTAAAATCTAATGATTCCATTGTGGTTTTGACTATGTGCAACATTCATCAATTGAGGAAGCCAATCATGCTTTCTAATCACTGCTATAAAATCCAACCAATTGTATGGGGGTGATGGAACTCAAATCTCTAGCATGGAATCCAAGCTTCCTTTTTCAGCTGGGGGTAGCTATGGTAGTCAAAGCTCTTAAACGAAATGTATCTCAACTCAGTGTTGAGATACATTTTGTAGAGGATTACTTGTTCCCCTATCTCCTTTCCATCAATTGCTTCCCAACCTTCTCTCACATTCCCCTCCCTCGCCTTCCTAAGAACATCTTAATCCTTTTTTTCCCCTCACGATCTCAACAAGCAAGAATGAGGCTGCTTTATTTTTTTCTCCCGTTTCTCAGGCTTGCTAGCTGCATGAGCACATGCACGTTTTCCTCTCTTTGTCCTACTTTTTGGTACAGGGAACACCGAGGAGATTCGTACGGGGTATAGCAGATACAGTTGGGTCCTGAGCACCTCGTTCTGCAACATACCTTCTTCACTGATCTCACTGCTTGGTGGAAAGATAAACTGGCACGACTTCATTGCACAAGCTAGCCACAGTCAACACTAGATGGAGCAATGAGTCAATGCACGGGAGGACTTTCATCTCTGGAGACATCAGTTCTATCAGGAGTGGGTCCCAGGTGAGATCTGGCAATCTGGATGGTAGGCACCATCCCAAACAATTCCTCATGCTTGTGTTCCAGGCTATTCGATGCTGTAATCAGAGCTGGGGGAACGGTCTGATAGCCGGGACATCTGTGGAACGCAGCAGGGGGAACATTCATCTCAGTTGCTGACATGCTAATTGCATTTAGCCACCACTCTTTTGGTGCCTGTCCCTTCCGTGGAAAAATTTAAACATTATAGCAATCAAAGAATGATAACTGTAGCAAATATTTCAGTAGCTTAACTATTGCAGAAACCTTACACTGCTGAAGTGGGGGCAAGGAGGAGGCAACCCTCTCTGCATGCTGCATTTCTAATCATCACTACAAATTAAGCACAAATCAACTCTCATGATCCACAGCACAAAATATAGACCGGAAACATCATGCCAATCAGACATTCTTTGGAAGAGGTAAGGATAGGTTTCTTATAAATACATAGATGTATCATATGCCAGTATATTCAGATAGGTATAACCTGAACGCTAACCGTCGGCAAAGTAAGTCTGTCTCCCTCGTGCCAAGTAATTTCTACACAGTTTTCTAACTCAGCCTGGAGAGGGAATTTCCTAAATTTGGTGTGTGCATCAATCCACAGGGTATGTGCCAAGCCTATGCAACTCAGGAAAGCACTGAGTATCAGTGGTGGTTTAACAAGGTGCTCTGAAAGATACATGCACAACAGGTAGAAGGACATTATATAATACTACTATAAGGTCCATCAATTTGCCAGGTTTCTCTCTGCTCCCCCTTCCACATGTTCCCCCAGCTTTGCTTGCTGTAAATGAGAAGACATGCATGAGAAGGAATAAAAAATCACTCACCAGTGTTTTATATTATGAAGCTGAAGAGAAGTAAATTAACGGTCCACGGTGTTCATTCAGTAAGATCACATTGATTTCTCTAGTGTGATTAAGCTTCTGGACAGAGAGACTCCGGATCTCTTCCCCACAATGAGTGACTAATTAAAAACAAACATACATACATATTGGCTATGAGCAATTGCTGGAGTTGAAGTCTGCCAGCGTGAAAGCTTTTCCAAAACACAAAGCAAGGAAAAAGAAAGGGGGAAAAAATCCTTTGCAGCAACACAAGACAATATCCAAATAAACAGTACTGGATTCTTGAACAGTTGGTGCCCCCCTAGTACTGTAGCCGAGACCTGCTATCAAAGGGTCTTATTTGTGTTGTCAAGGAAGCCCCGGCTATATGATGCTATATGCCATTATCCTCTTGCTTCTCTCTCACTCTCTGTCTTTCACAACTGATCAGCCCAGCAAGCAAGTAGGACAGAAAAAAAAGTAATCATTGTCCAGAGTAAAGGAAAGAGAATTAAAAAAAAAAAAAAGGAGAGAAAACAGGATTGTAAGCAATTGCTACCCAGACAGATCAAATAGGCATTAGAATTGCCATTTAAAAACACTTAGTTTTATGTGAAATCCATAAGAGCAAAACCAGTCCAGGTCCTGGATGTTGGTCGAGCAGTTCACAATCCCAGCTCTCATTTGCCAAGGTTCGGATAAAGCTGGCTGCAATCCAGCCACAAAAACAAGGCGCTGGATCCATCATACCGGGACATCTGCAAAATCATCTGACAGTCGGATCCTCCAGTCAGCATTAATTAGATTAGCTTTGAAAAGGTTATGAAATCAGTGTTGGTACCCTCACGCTGGAGCTGTAGCGCAAGCCCCAAACCGTGCCTGCCACACTGCCTTAAAACTATACGATTAAGAAAGAAGAGCTTGAATAAAATGAGAGATTTTGGGGAAAACAATAATTCTAGGTGAAATAGGGTTGCAAGAGTGCAGAATGTGAAAAATGCAGCAACCCCTTTTCGGTTTGTGTTTTAAAATCTAAAATAAATGTAATGAAAGAAGGTATGCTATATGTTCTTAGTTCGTTGTAACCAACCGTAAGAGTCATTTTAAGCACCTAGCAACAGAATAAAATTTAGAGCCTTTAGGACATTTGTTTCCAATCCTGCCATTTTCAATTGTCTGCCACATTACTTTATATTGTTCACGTGTTTTTTCTTTTGTTGCTCAGTTATGCAAGACATGATACACAAAGTCAATTGTGAGGAATCATTGGGGACGGGCCAAGACCCTATGAAACAGGGAACAATCCTATCTCAACAATTGTCAGTATTTTCTGAAACATTTGCTGACACACGTTCAGCGTTTCCTAAAATGGATTTATTCTATAAAGTGAAAGTGTTATATCCGATTCTCAAATCAGGATGCTTGAAGAGATAAGAGATAAGATTTCAATGACTCTTTAGAGGTGCAGTTTGAATCTTAATCTACAGAGGCAATTGTGAATCTGCAAACTAGGACCACAAGTGGCACTTACTCTTATCAACCAAGCACTTTGGGACCAAATAGGCACCTAAAGAATCCACCCTCCCACTATTTAATGATCATTGCAGGAGCATGGTTTCTCCATGGAAGACTTTACACTGTACTTTAACAAAATGGGAGAATGAACTGAAGGATATAGGCCACTGACACAGAAGCTCTATTTTGTCCTATGGAACAAAATGGATTGATTAGAATCCCAGCACTAAAGTAAAAAGCAGAGTATCCCTAACTATTTTAAGAGAAAATTAAAAGACAGGCGTAAAGGTAAAGGTTCCCCTCGCACATATGTGCTAGTTGTTGCCAACTCTAGGGGGTGGTGCTCATCTCCATTTCAAAGCTGAAGAGCCAGCACTGTCATGTGGCTGGCATGACTAAACGCCAAAGGGGCATGGAATGCCGTTACCTTCCCACCAAAGGGGGTCCCTACTTTTCTACTTGCATTTTTTACATGCTTTCAAACTGCTAGGTTGGCAGAAGCTGGGACAAGTAACGGGAGCTCAACCCATTATGCGGCACTAGGGATTCAAACTGCTGAACTACCGACCTTTCGATCGACAAGCTCAATGTCTTAGCCACTGAGCCACCGCATCCCAAAAGACAGGCATGGGATCTCACAAATATCTATGGAGGTTCTCAGTCATCCAAGTCATGGCTGTCCAAAAGGTGCTTTTTCAAAAGGCAACTGGACTTTGTTTTTCCTTGAAGACTTTTTGCTTTCATCCGAGAAGCTTTTTTTAGTTCTGACTGAATGGTGGAGCATGGAAGGATTTATATTCCATCTGGTCACTAACACTCTCTGAACACAGTCCTTTCAGCAATTCCAAGAAGGTTCCACACCCACTTTCACTACTCAGGTGACCCTGAGGGCACAGATAAATCTCCAAGTGGTCTCAACCACTCTCAGAAAAAGTGCTAACGACCTGGTGACTGCAAGGAATATAAATCCTTCTATCCTCCACCATTCAGTCAGAACTGAAGAAACTTCTTGGATGAGAAGTGAAACATCTTCAAGGAGAAACAAAGTCCAGTTGCCTGTTGAAAAAGCACCTTTGTGATCTCCTAAATCAGGGGTCAGCAACCCGTGGCTCTGGAGCCGCATGTGGCTCTTTCATCCCTCTGCTGCGGCTCCTTGTCACTGGTCGGCTCCACAATTGATAGGGCTTTCAGTTAGGGCAGGTAGAGGAAAAAGGACCCCACACTAGGAGGAGACTCTATGGTGGAACCGGATTTCCGGTCAGCTCCAGAATTGAATGGGGAGCTTCCAGTTAAGACTTTGTGGCTCTTTGAGTGTTTAAGGTTGCTGACCCCTGTCCTAAATAAAGAGACGAGAAAGTCCTTGACAAAAACAAGGCTTGCAAAGCTAAACACTACAAGATTCCTCTGAGTTTCAGAGGTAAAAAATAGCCCAGTTAGGCAACAGAAAGAAAAACTGAGGGGAAGAGGTTAAGGAACTTAGGAGAAAAAAACAAGAAGGAAAACTCCCAAGTGTGTGCAGGGTTGTGCTTGGTTTAAGACTCTGCAGTAGTGATATATCCCCATCTGTAGCCCTTGAATGTGTTTGACTGCAATTCCCATACCCATTTCCTGAGCCAAGGAAGTCTTCCATATCATAATGCCCTAGGATAGGGTTGCAAAACATCCACCATCTTAAGTCCAAAGCCTGGGTTTCTTCAGAATTGGAAGCTTTAAAAGGTAGAACGGGGTCCTTAAGTAACTGAAAAGCTTTGATAATATGTGCTTAAAACCATAGTTTCAAAACTTTGGTATCATTTTCACCCCCAGCACTAACATATCTTATTATAATATTTCATAAGTTGCTGGTCCAAAGTTCGTTTCCTTTCTCAAGTATGGAATCCCTTAAAGCATTGCGTGCAGACCTTTTTGTCACTCCCAAAAAACTACCTAACAAAGCTCAGTGCACAGGCGATGTAGCAGCTTAGCAGTTGCGGAATAAATGAAGGGGGAGGAAAGGAGTAGGAGCTTTTTTATCAATGGGAAACCAGACTCTGAAGCTCCAGCAGCTGCAATTAGAGTTACATTACAGGTGAGCGGAAGGAAAAGCACCTGAGCTGCTCAATATTGATAGCGTGGGATCAAAGGAACAAGGTACCAATCTGGGAGCATCACCGAAGCTCCTTGTGAAAGGGCCTCGAGTTGAAAGGAAGACTGAAATGAAGCTGTCTAACATGCTACAATGGGTGGGACCCGGGGGGTCGACTGCGTGTAAGGCAGAAGGTTCATTCGAGCATTCAAAGCTGCGAGGAGAAAACTTTGATCACAGAATCATAGAACTGGAAAAAGCCATTTAGGGTCACTGGTTGTAACCCCTTGCTCAGTGCAAAAATCTACCTTAAATCATCCCCCCCAAAAGATGGCAGTCTAGCCTCCATTTGAATATATCCAATGAAGGAAAAGCACCACCATCTCACTGGATGATTGGTTCTTCTGTTGAACTACACTTATTGTCGGGATGTTTTTTTTCCCCCTATATACAATGAGAATCTGCATTTGTATTTTTAAAATCATCCTTTATCCTGGGCTTTGGAAACACAAGGAGCAGATCATGCTACTCTTCTGTGTGATATTATTTCAACCACTTGAAAAGGGCTACAATATCTGTCCTTGGTCATTTTTTTTCTCAAGATCATCCCCCACCCCCAAACTCAAGGCTAAGCTTTTCCAGTTCCTTCAATGTCTCATAATAGTTTTTAGTTTCTTGAGCCTCTTCATTGCTCTTATCTGAATGTATTCCACATCTTCTAAAGCACAAGTAGCCAACCTTTTGGCCTGCCTAGGCTGCATTGAGTGAAGAGGAATTGTCTTCGACTGGATATAAAATATAAGGTATAGTTAATCCTTTGATCTGTATATTGACTGTTTCCTAATATGATTTGATTGCTTATTTGTACCCTATGACTATCATTAAGTGTTGAACCTTTTGATTCTTGACGAATGTATCTTTTCTTTTATGTACACTGAGAGCATATGCACCAAGACAAATTCCTTGTGTCTCCAATCACACTTGGCCAATAAAGAATTCTATTCTATTCTATTCTATTCTATTCTATTCTATTCTATTCTATTCTGTTCTATAAATCACATAGTAATGTTCAAAGCTTACAATCTTGAGAGGTAGCATTACAAGTTGTACATGTGGCCCAAGGGCCGTGGATTGGACAGGCCTGTCCAATAAAGGGTGCTGCCCAGAATTATAGTAGATACAATATTTAAGGTGAGTTCTGAGCAGCACCGCATAAAGGTGCTATGTCTTGCGTTTTAGTCTAATGCTGCATTTGTATTTTTACACTGCTGACCCATATTCAGATTGTTCCAGATGTACTCCCAACCTAGATGTCTGCCATTCCATACCTGTGTATTAGATTTCTGTTTCCCCAATAATTTTGCATTTGTCTCATTTAAATTGCATCCTGATATTTTCAGCTCATTTTCTTTAATGGATTTATTTCTGTTCTCTGTTTTCATGCCACTTGTATATTTGATAAGCATATCTCTCTACCTCTCCATCCACCTCAATAAAAATATTGAATTCTACAAGGTCAGGATGGAATCCTATAGCATCTCACCCTGTATTTGATCAGAT